CGGGACCCTGCACTTGACCCTCTCAGAATCAGGTGTCACTCTAGTTTGTTCTTTTTTTTTTTTAAACAATTGTATTTGTTTTTAATTATTATTTGTAACTATGGTCATGATACCTAACAAAAAATGTACGATCTTAACCATTTTAAGTGTATAGCTCGGTACTGCTAAGTGCACACACATTGTTCCGCCTCTAGATTTTTATTGTGGTTTTTCAGCTACAGAACCAGAGGCACAGACACAGGGACCCTCAAAGAAAACGCAGGGATCTGGAGAATGATGCCGCTGAGAAACACACAGGAGCGATCCAAGGTGGCCGTGAGCGCTTTCTCAGGCTCCTGTGCGCTAACACACTTTCCAGCCACCTCTGCCCACAAGGGCTGGGTGGGGGTATCCCGTACAACCCCGTGACATCGGCCCCTACGCCTTCCCCAGACCTCGGCCAGACAGAACATGCAGCCCACCTGGAGGTGGTGGTGGGCACCCTAGAGAGATCCCTGCCCACATTCAGAAATGGGACCAAAGGTTATTCAACAACCTCTCAAATATCACTTTGCAAATAATCTGAAGCCTGTAAATGGAACGTAAATGGGAAGGGATGAGTAATGGGGACCCAAAGCATTGTAAGCACTAAAATGCCTTCAGATATTTGGCCCTGGATGAGCTACATAGCGCAGCAAGACAGAACTTGAACCCCTAATGACAGTAGCAGCTGCTATACAGACAGCTCCAACTGTCCATCTGGCACTGTGACAACTACTTTTCTCAGTCAGGTTTTTGCAGTGGAGGTGCTGTGGTTGTGCCCATTTCACAGATGAGGAAACCGAAGCTCCCAGGGATGACCGACCTGCTCAGGGTCAGAGAGGAAGAAAATGGTGAAGCCTAGATTTGGACCCCGCAGACGAGCTCTGCAGACACGGTCTAATGACCATGCCGACCCTGTGCTGGTGCTGGGGTGCAGTGACCAGGGAGCCTGCGGGAGTTCCCAGCCCCGGGGAGCCCAGAAGCGGGAGAAAGGGTAAGCTCCCCCATCTTTGAACAGCGTCAGAGTCAGCAGTCCTGATCAGCGAGGACTGCCCTAAATCTGTCCATTTGGATTGGTACGTCTTCACATAAAAACTTTGTAACAGGGACACTCACACACAGGCTTACCCACCACGCTACCTCTGTCCACCACATCCCTTCTTAGTGGAGAAAGGAAAGAAAAAAACAAAAGGTCGCCAAAGGACCTGAGAAACCCCAGAACGTTTTAACACTCCGACATGTGTTGGGATGTGCTGCCAGTGGGGAACCGTCCCCAGCCCAGCCCTTCTTCCCCCACACACGGGGCTTTGCTGCCCAGATCTTTAAGGGGCTTGAACCTGAGCGAACCGGGCCAGGAGGTGGTGTCATCCCTTGATCTGAAAGGACAGAAAGAAAAAGCAGAACAAGAAATACGGGGTGATTTTCTATTTGCCTATACTTGGTGTTTTGTTTTTCTTCAAATGCATTTTGGCTCCTGACATTTCAAACTAGTGGTAGGTAGGGAAAAAAAGGTTTGAAAACAATACTCAAAGCGCCAGGCAGCTGAGCACACCGTGATTTTAATTAACCTCTCCTTTCTTTGGCTCCGTATCTGACCTTCCCCCTCACTCTGCATGTAAGTCATTGTCACCAGGGAGGGGATGTGGGGAGGGACCCAGCAGCTACTCCAATTGGTGACAACTCATGTCTGTTTATTTCTCATCACGCAGCTACACTACAGAGCAAAAAATGCAGGCTCCGGTGCCCAGGGGTTGACTGATTTGTAGCCAAGGCATGTGTGAACACACTCTTCCCATTTGCCCTTTGTTATCTGTTCATTATTTTTCGTAATCAAGACCTGCTTTATTTTCAGGTACAAGGAGGTGATACTTGAATGTACTCTGAGATATAAGTGTTTCAACCCATACTTTAGAACAAGAAAAAAAGCCCAAAACAATAAAAGCCCTGCCTGCTGTCTCCTATGGGCCGTGTCTGCATCGATAGTCCTTTTGACATTTGTCTCGTTCTGTTTTTCAGCATCAGTATCATCAGTGCTCACGCTGTCAAATGCAGCTGCGCTTGGTGGCCTTCAGCATTTTGGCAGGCCCTGCTCCCAGTTAGTGCTGCATGCATCTGTTAACTCTCTCCCGGTTTTCCTCAGCCATCCTTAAAATGAAGTGAGTGCCTTCCCTCCTGCACCAGCCCCCCCCCCCAATCTCTTCCCAGGAAGCGCCTCCACGGGGGGTTTCATCCCAGTAACTGCCAAGCTTTATCAGCGGGAGGAAGGATCTGAGAAGGAGACTCTGCGGAGAGACTAGGGTATGACTTCTATGGTGGGAGGAGTTCTTCGGAGATTTTCTCCTCCAGTCCTTTTGGACCAACTTACACGTCCATTTCTACTTCTTTAAACCAGGGTTTCTCAATCTTGGTACTATTGAAATTTGGGGCTAGATAATTCTTTGTTTGGAGGAGCTGTGAGTTGTGGTACCTTTAGCTGCATCCCTGACCTCAGCCCACCCTCCACTACCCCCACAGGTGTGACAATCAAACACATCTGCAGACACTGCCCTAGTCCTCTGGGGGCAAAACTAGCCCCCTGCACACTGAGAATCGCTAATCTAGAGGTTAGAAGCTGAGGATGCCACAAAGCCTCCTACACACACAAGGAATTATCTGGCTCCCAATGTCAATGATGCTGAGGTTGAAAAACCCTACCCTGATTATCTTACCCATTATCTTATCCAGCAATGGTCAAGTCTTCCGTGTTGTTGGGGTTTTTTTGTTTTGGTTTGGTTTTGGGTTTTTTTGGCAGGGGGCCAGTAATTAGGTTTACCTATTTAATTTTTAGAGGAGGTACTGAGGATTGAACCCAGGACCCTGCATATGCTAAGTATGTGCTCTGCCACTTGAGCTATACCCTCCCCTCCAAGTCTTCCATGTTTTGCAGCCTAACAAATTCCTATCCGGTACACCCCTCATTAAGATTTTTTTCCCTGATACAATCAAAGGATGGAAAGAGCTCTGTGAAACTTAAGAGATTTGAATAGGGAAAGGATGCTTGTCCTAAACTTGGGGCTTTCCAAAACCTTGGAGATGGCGCTAACCCCTTCGAAGGGAAAGGACAGCAGGAAATCGTGGCTGGGGGGTTGGCCAGCAGGGCTCGGGGAGTGATGGTCACTGTAACCTCAGTATGACCCAAGGGACCACGGTTCGTGGAGAGGCTTCCACTGGGGGCTCCAAACCCACATTACTGGAGAGGAGGGCAGCAGGAAGCCCGCTGTGCTCAGGGCTGTGGGCTCACACTGGTGCAGGATCTGACCACAGGACAGTAGGTTTGTGCCCACCGTGGAGGCTCTGGGACACATGGCTGCCACCTCACTGTCTTACTCTCTGGGGGAGGTGAGGCTGCACCTTTTGAATGATGCTAATTGGAGGATTTCATCAACTTGAAGGCATTCTGAACCAGCTTTCTCCACTGACAGTTCCTACCTCGAACCTGTTCCCGTGCAAAGCAGGAGGAAACGCTGACATTCAATACATGGTCCCCATCAGGACTCCTCTCACCAACACAAAGCCAGAAACAGTCTCACCAGAGACAGTAAAAACTCAATGCGCTTTGGTCATAAAATCTATTTTCCATGCTCCGTGCCTGCTGTGACCAACGGCATCTGCCTGTCAACCGGTGGGGCCTGGCTCGTTGATGGCTGGACTTTGAAGGGCTTTCTCTGCTTTCTGGAGGAAGATACGTGTACAGCTCTAGGGCCTCGCCACCTCCAGCTCAGGAGAGTCCCAGGCACGACCTCCGCCGCCCCCAAGGTGGGGAATGAACACAGTTTGGAACTCCAATGGCAACTCGCGGGTGAAAGAACCCACAGTCCCTGGGTTTCGAGAAACTGACATTGTGGAAAGATCTGCATATCGCAGAAGCTCCTCTTCAACATTCAGTCTCTCCGCCCTGATTTCCCAGTGTGGGAGGCAGAATAATGGCCCCCAGAACCTGGGAGTGCCACCTCACGTGGCAGAAGGGACCTTGCATGTGTGACTAACAATCTCGAGACGGAGAGATTATCCCGCATTACCTGGGTGGGCCAACGTCATCGCAAGGATCTTTAACAGGAATGGAGGGAGAACTAGGGATGAAGGGCAAAGGCCATGTGAAGATGGAAGCAGAGACTGGAAGGATGCTCTTTGAAGATGGAGGAAGGGCAGACAAGCCAAGGAACACAGGCGACCAAGAGAAGCTGGAAAAGGCGAGAAAACGGTGTCTCCCCCAAAGCCTCCTGCGAGCCCATCTGACGCCCTTTCCAGCACGCCTATCTGTGGCGCCCCCACCCCGGCTCTCTCGACACTCATTCTCACTGATGCTCATGTTGGGGAGGAGGAAAAGGGACAACGTGAGCCCTCCACTCTCCTCCCTGTTCTCTTGCTCACGGGCTCGTCCAGAATTAGGTTTCAGAGCTTCATTCCTGCCCCACCTGGAGGCAAATAAGGAGTCTCCCTTACCTAGAACTTGCAGTGCAAAAGCAGGTTGTCTGCAGGGGACTTTCACTGCTCCAGACCAGGGAGGGCCGGGGTGGAGGTTGAAAAACTGCTTGTTCCCTGTCCTGACTCTATTGCCATATTACTCAGATTAAGGTTTGCCCTGTTCCCTTTTCTGGCCAGTCACTTCCAGGGGATTTTGCAAAGAGTCACAAGTTAGCATGTGGAAAGAACCCTCTGAACGCCCATATAAATAAAAAACCTTACAGCGGGAAAGCCTGATGCCTTGTAACGAGCCCTTACAAAATCCCAAAGCACTTAAAAATTCATGTTGCTCTTCAGGAGCAGCTATTAGCTCTACACACACATGCAGTCCCATACGTGTAAGGCACGCACGTTCAGAGCCACTGTTACAGGACACTTAGGGGGTACCAAGCAGCGAGTTAAGCTCCCTGTATCCACCATCTCAGTGATTTAGGGAGAAGGTCACCTATGACCTGGTCTGAGTCCCTGGGAGGAAAACAAAGCCCCACGCCTCTGTCTGCATCCACCCTGACGTCACCAGCTCCCGTGCACAGGGCCCGACACAGGGTGGGAACTTGGGGAGGCAAGTGGATGGCATTTCTTTTAATTACAGCAAAGTGAGATGAGCCATTACCGGAGAGAACAAGTGTGGGTCGCAGAAGCAGAAATTGATGCTGTTGATAACACAGGGTTCTCTGCTCTTCTGGTAACTTACAGATACAAAAATACAGTGTCAGACAGTGGCTGGAATCAGTTCCTGAAACCATCTTTTCTTCACCCGTCTCTGCTCCCCAAGCCTGCCGCTTCTTTCCCAAATAAGCACAAGGCCAGGGCATTAAGACACTAAGGGACGTGGAGTTCTGTTTAGGAGCTGTTTTCTCAATATCGTCTCTCTGACCCAGACCACCGGGAATGCTGCAAAGCACGTCTCAGAAGTCCATTTATGGCTTGGCTCATTTTCTGAGAAAAGGACGGGAGGGACAAGGGAGAGCTTTCGACTGTGGGAAACCAACTAAGTACAGAATAACACAACTCGTGTTACTCTTAAGGTTTAGAGGAGCATTGCATGTAAATGGCCACCAGGTGGCACTGCTATTCTCTAAAAATGCTGCAGGGGGTGCGGGAGGCTAGGAGTTGGGGGTGCTGGTGTGTGTGTGGCTAGTGGCATGTGTGCACACACGGACGCTGGGGTGAGAGACAACTTCCCTCCACCCACCTCCACTCAGCCAGCAGCCAACTCCTCCCTTCATCATCCACTCACCCGCTCCTTCCCCAGCATCCCTCTTTACCATTCTTGGCCAAAAAGGAGCTGAGAGAAGCAAGAAAACCCAGCGCGATCATGAAACCAACAGCAAATCAAAGATATTCCCGAAGATGGCACGGCAAGAACACTGAGGTACCACCAGGCCTCTCTCCTGTTACCCCACTCACTCCCCGCCGCCCCCCAGGCCTCCCCGGCTCCGATAGGCAGTGCTTTATTGCTGTGCAGGAAGATGGCCCCATCATTCTGGTGGCTTCCTTCTTTGTCAGCATATTCCTTGGAAAAAAGGACTCTAGATAGAGTAAGGACCTCAGAGGAATAATTCTTCAATGGTGGCTCTTGAGACACATTTCATATCAGACCCTCTGGATTGAGGGTCTGCCATTAGGAAACCTTCTTTCTCTAAAGTCACACCAGCAGGGTAACACTCATCTCCTCCGTCTTTGTTTAAAGTAGTTCTCCTCCGAGGCCTTCCAACTCCAGCCTTGCCAGAGAACCTGGGCCGTACAGTCAGGACTGCGAGCCCTACATGAGCTGCAGAAACACCCCTGTTCGATGATCTTCTTTCTCCACCTGCCTAATAGGCATTAAAAGCCAGGCATTGAAGGGCGGCCTCCATCAGATTTCAAATGCACTGACATAATGGACTTGTCTCCACAGAACAAACCTCCAGGGACCCAGGCTAGGCAACCCATTTATAACACGGTCAGGATGCTCCCAAGAGAGCTTGTGTGTTGCTGAGCGCTTTGAGCTCCAAATCTAGATGCCCTGTCTCGTCTCATCTCATTGGCCAGGTGACCCTGGGCATGGAACCGAGCCTGCCTGAGCTGCCATCTCTGTGGCTGTGAACCCAGGTTTCTACTCCTCGTGCGCCAGCTTATAGTGAGCCGTGGAGCTAACAGAGGCACATTCCCAAGGCGGGAAGGTCAAAGACAGTATTACTATTGCTCCCTGTGCACCGGGCACCGGGCTACATGCTCAACACACACGAATCACCTTAATCCTCACAGCAACCCTGTCTGCAGAAGCTAGAAGTGAAGCCAAAGGAAGTTAAGTGCTTCATGGGCTACTGAACCATCTGGGGACAGCTGTACTGGCAGTTCCCAAAAAGATGCTGGTCTAGGGGTCCCATTGCTCCCCGTGAGAAATGAACCGGGGTCTTTTTATTTGGGGGATAGGTCTCAGGAGGATTAGATGCGGGTTTACCTGCTCTGTGCTACTGCACCCTGGGTACTGTTCCTCTGTGCCAGTGATGTGTCAGCATTAAAAAGGCATCTCAAGAATGGGTGACTGAGTCTCCTCGACGTGACACTTAATATCACATCTTCCAGGTTGAAACAACAGCCCCTACGGAAACGGCATTGTGGGAACGACCAAAAACAGCAAGGTATGCCTCCAGAAGACATTTCTTTTATTTCTAAGGGACTTAAATTGCATTTGCAAAATACACTAGCATCTTACTCCTCGGGAGTGGTGAGGAAGAGCGGTCACTTTTACAGTGGCTATTTTTCTCCATCTGGAAGCTCACATCTTAAAGGACGAAGACATCTGAAAATGCCTAGTGACAGACCCTTTCTAAAGCATATGGCGTAGCTGGTTCACAAAGTTTGCTAATGTCTTCAGGCCTGGATGGGTCTATCGATCCACCTTCAAGGCCGTCAACTGTTATCATCCAGACAGAAAACTGAGACCAGAAAGAGGAGGGGAGGGTGGCCTTTGTTTTTGCAAGGGGCTGTGTGTGTGGTTACGTATGTGTGCAAGTGAAGGAAATAAAGGACAAACACAGAGACAGCCTTGAAGTAGGAGAGATGGACGAGGCCCAGGGAGGGGGCGAGGACCACGGCACAAAGCGGTTAGAGGGACGGGGGTTACATCGCGGATCCCTGAGGCAGAGGAGGCTTGAGAGGGGAAAGCTGTTAAGGGGCTCCGAAAATAGAAATGCTGAGAAGCATACTTGGTCATGTGGACAGGCTGGTCAGAAAATGCCAAGCGTGCGTTCTCCAGGCCGAAGGCCAGGACCAGCCGCCAAGCAGGGCCGTCGGGGACTGGCCTCCTCCCCATCAAAGGGAAGGGTCGCCCTCCCTGGAGCCCCTTCCGACACCTCCCCGCCCTGCCCGCTGCCCAGTGTGGCTGCACCTTCTTTTTCAGCACGTGAGCAGTGACCCTGTTCTGCCCACAGGCCCCCTCGCGGGTCCGAGGACCCTAAAGACTCCCCCGCCTTCCGCAGCCGAGGGCCCCTGGGTGTCTCCGGCTCCCACCGCCCCCGAGGAGGGAAGGCCCTGGAAAGGCGGCTCCTCCCTTCCTTCCCCGCCGCTTTTCCCGCTGGGGCCTCCTCACAAAGGCGCCGGGCCAGGCCCCGTTGCTGAGGGAACCGGCAGCCCGCCCAGCCCCCTTCCCCGCAGAAGCAGCCGGAGGAGC